TCAGTCCTGTCAGGGCTGTTCTGATGTTATTACGGTAGTAATGCTACATGGATCTATACTGAACTATGTTTGATTCACTGTTGTTAGTTTGTGCTGTCCATCACTTTAGGTTTTAACCAGTCTTGGCAGGGCTGTTCTGATGTTATTACGGTAGTAATGCTACATGGGATCTATATTGAACTATGTTTGATTCACTGTTGTTAGTTTGTGTTGTCCATCACTTAAGGTTTTAACCAGTCCTGGCAGGGCTGTTCTGATGTTATTCCGATAGTAATGCTACATGTGATCTATATTGATCTATGATTATTTCGCTGCTGCTGATCAGAGGAAGAATAATAGTTCGATAAAAGTGTCACACGTTGAGTCAGTAAGTTATAAAAAAAATTATTTTAAACAACGAAACCTTCCGTACTCATTTAGTCATTTTGCTTGTGTTAAATGTTTACAGGATATCTGTTATTTATAATGGTCTAAGCGACGTTTATAAAATATCCTTTTCAGTTAGTTATTGAACTCAGGACTGTGTGTGTGTGACCAAACGATGTCTTTCAACAATGTACTTTTTTCCCAGTAAATTAAACTTAAGCATAAAGTCATTATAAATGAATGAAAAGAGAAACGTATGGTCAAAACGTTTATATGTAAAGAACGAGGTTTTTGATTTTTGTTATATTTTCATAAAACTTTAATAAAAAAAATGTTTTGCGAGAAATTTTAAACAGTTATGTGACTTACATTAAAACGAAATTCTGAACATTGGCGCTCTAAACTCAGTCAGAACTGTCCTAATATTAATGTTACAGTTTTTCGCTAAACAAAACTTTCAATAAGAAGAATATGTTGGCGTTTAAATTGAACAAAATAGTCTTAGCGCTACGATGAAAACTAATTCATACAAATACGAATAAAACTCATGAAATATCACATGTACTTGAAGTCGTTAATGTTTTCTTTAATCATTAGACATAAAATTGATGGCAGATGTAGTGACAACTCAAATTTTTGTTTCTCGTGTGTAGCATCTTAACAGTTTCAACTGGTTCGTGAGGCTTAATCCTGTCCTCTTCTTCCTGACTTTAAAAGTACCACAATGAATATCAACTAATATACCGACTTGGCCAATGTACTTAAATGGACAAGTGGAAATTTTACATGCTTTATTAATATTACTGTAGGTTTATGCTATTTTTTCGCACTGAATGCTTTATGGAGAAAGGACGGGATTTGGCGGCAAACTTGTGACTTCTTGCAATTTCAGTGCATTCTTCGAAACGATATTTCTAATAATTTCAGGGATTAAATTATTGTGTACATTTTGCTGAGGTCAAAGTTACTTAAACCTATTTCTGTCACATTTTTATAATTTTTCTTCAATTTAATATTTAAAGTTGTACAATACAAACTTTGAAGTTATTATTTCTGTTGTAATAGGTAATTATTATAAGATACTTTAGCAAAGTTACTTAGAACAGTTCAGTCTTAAATCGGTTTTCCACAGATGTTAGTTTTAATGTTCATTTTATAGAAATAAACAACAACCCCTGGGGTCAGTACCACAAAAAGGAACAAGAAAACATCAAGAGAAACGTGCCTTCATGGAGCCAGTACTCGAGAGATATCAGTTGTACCTCCAGTACCGAAACATTGCCGAGTGAACAAGTTAAAGATACAGCTGACTCCCCTCAACACTTTAATCTGCTCAATCAACAGAACAAAAATTGTATGGATACGTTGAATGAGCTACACAGAGAACAAACCAACAACGAACAGATTTTGAATGAACAACCCAAAGAAACACTCATCCCTACCAAAGATGGTAACTTAGTAATCCAAAAAGATAACGAAACGTTGAACTCTGAAAATAATGGTTTCGTTTCACGTGAGAAAGGCGATGACCACACTATTCAGTCATTAATAAAAGAAGACGTAACACCTGATGTAGATCGTCAAGGTGTTGACGTATCTGTCCCACAAAATATATCGTCCCTGAACTGCAACCATGATAACCAATCTATGTCGACCGTGAACGACAGCGCTGACAGTTTCACAGAAGAAAGTTCACATGAAGAATGGTTACCCTGGGTTCCCAGGTAGGTGCTGTAATGATTACTGTGTTTGACTTGTTAGTGACAAACCTCTTATAGCTACTGTAATGATTATTATCCTTGATTTGTTAGTGGCAAACCTCTTATAGGTACTATAATGATTTTTATGCTTGATTTGTTAGTGGCAAACCTCTTATAGGTACTATAATGATTTTTATGCTTGATTTGTTAGAGGCAAACCTCTTATAGGTACTATAATGATTTTTATGCTTGATTTGTTAGTGGCAAACCTCTTATAGGTACTATAAAGATTTTTATGCTTGATTTGTTAGAGGCAAACCATTTATCGGTACCGTTTACGTGTATAAATGTCATTTCGGGTGGCTTCAATTACTTGTATTCAGGACCTGAAGATGGGGAACTGAAGCCATCTGAAATGTCATCACATGCTGAAGTTTTCATATTCACCCTATTATTCTGAGATTCAACCTTATCCTTATTGTCTGATCTATAGATCTAACTTAAGAGATACTGATTTACCCCTGGCTGCTTTAAATTTTACTTTCCTTGGATTCACAGACCTAAATCTTCTATTGGGAGTTTATACAATTGATGACTGTGTTTTAAATAAAAGACCCAATAACTAATCATGCAACAAAACAATGATTTCGTTAAAATGTAAATGGCATCGCCAGTACTACGTCTCGCGTCTTCAACATGAATAAATTATATTACATAAGTGGAGATATATAAACACCTGACGGACATTCGAAAAGTTCGCAGTATACATATTGCTGCTAATCCAAGCTAACTGAAAAATTCTTTTTATTCAGAGCAGACACTGCACAAAAAATGTATGCATACATACACATACACACACACATTTCCACTTCACGGCAAAAAATACGCTAACTCTTCCGAATACATCGTATTTCTTCGTTAAATTGCAAAATCCTCGAATACAAAAAAAAACATTGTCTTAGTTCATACTACTTGATGAATAAATTCATTACGTAAGAAATCTTGAAATATGAATTATTAATTCGTATTTCAATAGCTGAGCTGATAGAAAATTCAAAAAGTAATTTGATATGAAGTATGGCTCGACTGTGAGCTTTAAAACATATCTGACTTAAAGGAAGAGCCTTGATGAATTGTTTATTTCTGCCTGTGGATAACTTTTATCGAAGTTTCGCAATCGCTATGTTTGTTCTAAAGCAAATAGCAGAGAATCTTAATTCAAACTGCATAATCTATGAAACACATTCAGGTATTCTACTTCCCTAACAACGAAAGTTCTTATTCTTCTGATTTGAAATATGTGATTTCTATTGTAGTATGTCAAAACTTGGCTTATTTCATCAGCATTGTTATCTTTTCGTATCTACTTCAACATTATATTTTGTACATGTGATCAGTGGAAGACAAGGGTTAGAGGAATCAGGAAAAAAGCATAAGCGAAATTAAAGTAAAAATAAGCATTGTAATGGTTAAATTTATGTATTTACATGACCTTCTCTCTTTTTTACTTTAATTTCTATCTTCTTTTTAGATTATATCAAGCTACCAAATTAATTGTAGAATTTTTATCCATTTGTAATTATTTATTATTTTGGACAAAAACTCAAAGCAAGATTAGAAAACTTGAAACCTATAAGATTTATTTTTTGGGGAGGGAGACATAGAGACCATATTTGGGTCTCTGGCCATCCTATTTTATATATATGGAGCCTGCCTTCCATCCCCTGTTCAAACGCCTATATGTATATATGTTATCAAGATAACAAGAACTTTGCATAATCCACTCCAAAATGTGTGCGTATCAGATATTTAAACTCGACTACATTAACTCGGCAGTTAAAATTAAATATTTTCATTAAAATAATAAAGTGGTGTTGTTTGATTATATTGCTAATTAAAATTTCTTAGTTATATATATGTATATACTTTACTATCTACCAAAGTCTTGCATTATTCTGCCACTTTATAATTACTATCTATACACACCACGCTATGATCTTATTTTCTTGTATGAAAGACTGGCACTCGTGCTGGAAACGATAATGACTTAACAGTCAATATTTTCATCTTAAATAGTCCCCCAGTGGCACAGCGGTATGTCTGTGGACTTACAACTTTAGAATTCGGGTTTCGATACCCCTGGTGGGCAGAGCACAGATAGCTCATTGTGTAGCTTTGTGATTAACCCCAAACAATCACCTTAAGTAATTCACATAAAAAATGAAATGTGCGATAATAGTTTCTAAATATTTTTCAATTAAGAGCCAAAAATTACTTTTTTTGTATCAATGTTATAACTCTAGCTTGTTTATTTTCTGGTAGGATATAACTCCAACAATGTTCATTCTATTGCTACTGTAGTCATAAGCAGCGTGTATTTCTAACACGCTTTTATTTCGGGTAGTGTCATGGTTCCAACATTGTTCTTTCTAAATTTTTTTCTTTGAAAGTATTGTCTTGGAAACATGTGAAGAGAGTAAAGTTTAAATTTATAATTATGCTTAGGCTTCGGTAATGGAACAATACCCTTCTATAGACCCATAGGCAGAGCCTGGTGTATATTTGAAATATGCCTTCCATAAGCATGAAGTTCAAGGTGACTGAGACATTATTTGAAAACGAGTGCAATTTTAGATTTATAAGTGCCGATTGGAGCTTATAAATTATTATAAAAATTACGACCACAAAATCCAGGAGAAAATTTGAAATGTGTATACGACGACAATGGACAGTTAATTCTTGAGAAAGGTAAGAGCCGACACTTGGGTAGTAATTAAAAATCAAATTCTTCTAGATTTCGTAGTCGTCATTTTTGAAATAATACAATAACGATTTCTGTCGAAATAACTGGATATAGTTCAGTTTCACTTTTGTAGATTGTACGAACGTATAACAAAAACTCTTGTAGAACAACAACAAGTAATTAACATATAAAATTATATAAGGACTTTTCTCTACGTTAAAATACTTTTATTACATCACGTATTGTTACGACTATTTCTAGATACATATTTTAAAGCAGTGTTCTACAGTTTAACGAGTTTTTATCGCTCAGTTCATTGTTGCCCGATGAAGGCTCCGGTAAGAGGGCCGAAAGCTCGCAATAAAAGTATTTTAACGTGAAGTCCGTTATAATTCTACATATTAATTTACGTACGTTATGAGTCTTAAACAATAAGTAATTAACATTAATTGTTACTTAAGTTATAAATTAGGCATATCCCAAATTAAGGCATAACTTCATCACGATTAACAACGCTTGTTTCTCTATAAAATCCACTCACTATTTGATGATTGTCATACTGATAAAGAAAGAAGCCAGAATATATTCCAGAAATAGTGTTTACTCCTCAAAGCTTGTTGGCTTTCTATTGAATTTGTTACTGATGTGAACAGAGCAGAAATACGAATGTTCTATATTCGAGCTTTTGGAAATATATTTTTTTCAGTACACGGCAAATATTGTACTGGAGATTAAAACTGAACCACAGGTTAGAAAAAACAGAAAATACATTATTATTATTATCTGAAAAATTACATTGTTTTTTAAACTTCTTGTGTAATGTCCATTGTGTGTAAATTAAAAATATATCCCATTTATTTCTTCCATGAAAATTATTATATTTTGTATTTGTATTCTATAATTATTAATTTGCTGATAGTTTTTTTTTCAAAGCACATTTTATATTTCCCACAGCAATTATAAACAAAACACTCTATCTCAGATACAGTTCCCAGTGGATCAGCGCTAGGTTTAAGGAATGTAAACGCTAAAATCTTGGGTTCGATTCACCGCAGTAGATAAAGCGCAAACAGCTTATTGTGTGACTTTGTGCTAACAACGAACAAACAAAAGATAAAAATTATTTTCGAATAATGGAGTAAATAATAACGATTGTTTTCAGTATATATATAAAAAGTAAGCTATTTTAAATTAGTAAATTTAAATCGAATAAATTTATCAGAAATTATGATATGATTTTTTATACCTTAAAGTACAGAGTATCATGTTTAAACTTATAAACATTGCCTAAATAAATAAATTTGTGAAAGTTGTCTCGAAGATATTTTTGTTATATACTACATGAGGTAATACATATAATGTTTTGTTGGCAACACGTTTTCGCTGTTATTTATAGATAGATCTATATTTCAGTTCGCTACAACAAAATCGTCTTATGAAAGGTATAAGCGATATGTTTGTTTGTTTGAAGTTAAGCACCAAGGGCTATCAGTGCTCTGCCCACCACAGGTATCGAAACCCGGTTTCTAGATAGGTAAGTCCGCAGACATACTGCTGTGCCACTGGGGGGCTAAGAGATATGAAATTTAAGACTAGTACCATTCCTCTATCTCTTGTTTACTGTCATTTTATTTTAAGTTTATTCTAGAGCGACACTAAACGGTGTCATTTCTCTGGTGTCTCCCGGTGAGACAGCGGTAAGTTTAGTAACTCACAACACTAAAATCCATGGTTCGATTCTCCTAGAGAGACACAGAAGATAGTCTAATGTGTCTTTGTTCTAAAACAAAAAAATAATCATTAAATATTTCACTGCTAATTACTCATGCTCATTACTTTCCTATCTTATGGCTGACTGTCTTATGCAAGGTATAATGATCAAAATGTAAAATGTTAACTCCAAAAACGTAACTTTGTTTATTGGCTTTCAAAAGAAATAGTAATTCTTGTTAGTTGACTTATAACACTTTACATGAATTGTATGATTACTAGCATAAAATATCTGCGCTTTTACTGCGGGGCTCAATGGCCCTCTTGTAGTTCACAGAGGCCCCCGATGTACTGATCAAGCTCCTACACTATCCCCAATTATTTATATAGCTACCCCTGTAAGATCGCCCACCTGTGCTACATGAACACGTGTGCAACGTTTGGTCCCACTAGATTGTGAGTTGGATTTGAAACATGATTGAAAATCATAACACGATTCGATCTCAGCGACCCAGGAACCTACTTCTAGGCCCCATCATGCTTGGGTGACTTTCCGGGCATGTTTGGGTTC